ATGTATATATATATATAATATATTTGCTATTCCTTTTTTTAAAAATTTTTGTCTCTTGCCATGAACATTGCAGCCAGGATGTCTATGTCTTGCTGACAAATCCAGCATGAAGGCTCCTTCTCCGCTGTTCTCCAGGTTTGAACACAGATGCCGACTTCCATGAACATGTTGGTCAAGATTCCTGTACAAGGCAGATGGAAATGACCAGTCACGGCATGCTGGTTCCTTCGGCTATAAAAGGGCTCCTCTTGGTTTGAGGGCACTGCACAGCAAATTTGCAAACACTTGGGGCCACAGTTTGCACTTAATTACCAGGACCTCTGGTAATTAGCAGGAACTCTTAATTCACTGGGCTGGTGTTGGTGTATGGGGGAGATAACTGTTTCCTTACTTTAAGCCACTTAATTCAAATTGTGTGGCTCCTGATGCAGAAGTGTCTGGGCTTTCTTGCCTGTACTGTGCAATAGGAGGCAAGATTAGGCAGATGCAAGAGCCTCTGCTGACCCTCCAAGCTGCAGCGGAGCTGGTTGCTTTTCCAAGCTTAAAAGCTGCCAACCAAAATCTTCATATGATAAAGAAAGACGAAATCCCATTTCCAAAGAGGCCTCTTGAAATGCCACTGCAGCCTCGCTGGTCACAGAGCTCCACAGACATTTTTCACCAGTGAAGCTGCCTTCAGGAGCTCCCCCTTTCCTCCCCACACGCTGCTCTGCCCTCCGCTGCTCGGAGCAGAGGGCTGCTGGGCTGAGCTGCCACCCAGGAGCTGCAGCAGCTGGGCTGACGCAGCGGGGACAGGAGGGGGTAAGAGTGGGGCAAGACTCCTCGAGCCAGCTTGGCCCTGAAAAAAACTGTCTGGGGCTGTGACTGCTTTGGGGCATGTGTGGGGAGGTGCAAACCTTGTGTGCTGCTGCCTGCACCTGTGTGTGCCTAAAAAGACAACCTGGGAATCTGAACGGGACTAGACACACCTCTTGTTTTGCAAACACTGGGCTGATACTGGACCAGTATGAGGGTCCTTTTGGATGATGTCCTTTGGACAGGCTTTGCAGAATCTCTATCCAAGCTTCTCAGCCCAGCCACAAAACTGGTATCATAGAATCACAGAATCATTAAGGTTGGACAAGACCTCAAGGATCATCAAGTCCAACCGTCAACCCAACACCACCCAACCCACTAACCCATATCCCGAAGCACCACATCGAAACGTTTCTTGACCCCCTCCAGGGATGGTGACTCCACCACTGCCCTGGGCAGCCTGTTCTAATGCCTGATCACTCTTGCAGTGAAGAAATTATTTCTAATATCCAGCCTAAACCTCCCCTGGCGCAACTTGAGGCTGTTTCCTCCTGAATCACCTCTCTCCCTCCCTGCCCCGGGGGACAGGCAGGTCCTTTCTTCTTTACACACAGATGACTCTGCCCCCTCTGCTGAGCAGGACAGCAAGGTGACATCTGCTTTTGGTGGCATGGCACTGGCTTTCTAACCACAACCAGGTGGCCATGCCTGGAGCCATCACCACACCAAAGCTGCTGGCCGAGAGCTGCCACTCTTAGTGCCGAGAAGCAGCAACACCTCCCAGCACCCGCGGCTGGCAGGGATCAGAGACACCCCGAGTCACGTCCACCCCTGACACAGCAGGTATAAATCATACCGGTAACCGCCACCCACCTGAGGTTTCTTGTCCCTTTCCTCTGGAGAAGGTTCTGTTTCTCTGTATACCACAGCTTTGGTCACCAGCATGTCGGGATGCTGTAGTTTTGCCTCTTTGATTGCTAAAGCCAGTGCCTAGAAACCAAACCAGAAGGATAAAAGCATTTACCGTCACTTCCCTGAAATCTGGTACGTGGCTCCCAGGCAGCCAGAACCAGCGGACACAAAGCAGCTGGAGGCAAGTGGGATTCCAGGAGAATGCAGATGCAGAGGTTCAAAGGCGAACCCACAGCAGCCTGGCAGAAGAGGCTGGAGCCCACGACTGATCGGGGGTTTGTAAACTATTGGGACGCCTCATGCACTGCCTTTCTCTCACTGTTTTTTCTGTAGAGATGCAATATGTCCCAGGCTCCTACTGAAACCCAAGCAAAGGAACAGCAGCAATTCTCTCTGCAGCAAAACCCTAGAAAAATCTACAATAATAATCTAATTAAATTTATTATTATAATTCTAACATCTACAAATTATTTTAGAGCCCTTTAAATACTTTAGCTCTTTAATTTTTCTTCTTAAGCAACAAATCCCAAAGGCTAAGGCCACAGGAAAATGACCCCGTGGCCCCAGAGATTGGTGTCAATCTCTGTTTGTTCATCATAAAAGTTTGTCACTTTTTGTTCCTCTGTCACAGAGGCAGATGCAAAACACCATCACTGGGAGTGAGTGGAAGAACCTGCCTCACTCTGGAGTATTTCAACAGAGAAAGGGCAACTGGAAACATGTTTTAAGAAAATAAAAAGGTGATCCCATCAGTGGGCTCTGTGCTGGGATGAAACCTCTACCGCTGCTTCACTGATGGGAGCTGGGCTGGGGCTCCATGTGGGTGCCACTGCACCCCACAGGGACCTGTGCTGCCAGAAAGAGCTGGCAGGCTTGGGACCTCAGGGGACAGTTTTTGGAGAGAAGGAGTAAACGGGTACAAGCCAGAAGCAGAAGCACTCAGTGCTGCAGCCAGAGCCAGGCAAAGCTGGGGCATCCCGCTCCTACCTGGTCCTGGTCCACATCTTCATCTCCTGTGATAATGATGCGCTTCTCTATTCGGGTCTCAGAAAACCCTCCTTTCACAGTCTGCACAACAAGAAGGAAAGCACTCAACCCCAGCTGTCCCACAAGCCAGCTCCTGGCGGATGCAGCTTTGCCCACGGGAGGAGGAACAGCGCCAGCAACACCTTAGGAACTCCTCCTGAAATTTAGCATATCTACAGCCCCCTGGATTCAGTGTGTGGTTGGAAACAGCGAGACACAGTTGGCCACAGGTGGGGAGGGAAGGAAAAGGGCTAGGTGGCAGGTACTGAGCATCCCTCCCTCCTGCTCAGGAGCTTCTGCTTTCCTTTATGTGCACCTAATTTGGGAATGAAATGTCTGTGGGTGAGGTCCTCTGCTGCAGCCTCCTTTCCTTCATTTCCCATCATCACTCCCCCTTCCCTGCACCACTCCAGCTCTAACAACCCCAATATACCCCCGCTAACACAGCTCCCACAGCTCCAGCGAGACACTCCAGCACGGGTGCCATGGGCTCCTTGGGCCAGGGGACCTGGGGTCTAGGTCTGGGCACATCTGGGAACACACCCCCCACTGCACAGGCAGGGACTCACACACACATTGCTGGCAGCCTAATTTGTAATCCCTTCCACCCCTTGGCTTCAGCAGGTCAGGGACACTGCGCGCTGCTCCTCCTCCTCACCCCAGTGCCTTCCCGTCCTCCCAGTCTACCAGCGAGTAGAGGTGGGTGCAGCATGGCTTCACAGCAGCCCTGGGTGGCAGGCAGGTGATGAGCACCTGATGCCAGGCTGTCCTTGCCCCTGCTGTCACACCTGGATGGATGGGACAGCACAGCCAGGCTGAACGGGGCACAGGGCGCTCGGAGTGAGGCACGGGCACTGTGCTGGCAGCCACCCCCCACGGACAGCGTACACTTCTTTGTTGTGTAAGGAGGAGAGGGGCATTTTCTGCTGTACCAACCACCAGAATCACAGACTGGTTTGGGTTGGAAGGGACCTTAAAGCCCATCCAGTTCCACCCCCTGCCATGGGCAGGGACACCTACCACTAGCCCAGGTTGCTCAAAGCCACATCCAGCCTGGCCTTGGACCCCTCCATGTTTGCACAGCAAAACATTTCTTCCTCACATCTCATCTCAA